GCGGGGTGCCCAAGCCCCCGGGCACGCTCAGTAAGTGCTCGAAACTCTACAAACGTGGCCAACCCCGAGGCTGGGGGCTCCGGGCTCCACCTGCGGCCTGGTCGGGGTCGCCCTCCTCACAGCCCTCAGAGGAGCTGTGGGTGGCCGGGGCCCCCGGCCCCGCTCAGGGAGCATGGATCTGTCGGCCGCTGTGGAGAGCAGGACCGCTCGCCTTTTGGTTCCCTCTTCTTTCCCTGTAATATTAGAATAAGCATATTTGTGTTGCTGGGGTGAAGGTTAATTAATTCACCTTGAAAACGAAGCTGCTCTAAGCACTAAGTGTTCTCTTCCTCAGCGTCGTCACCCGTGGCTTCATAATTTCCTGTGGACCTCCTTTTGTTTAAATGATACAGATACAAATGCATTAGGAACAGTGTTAAGCCAACCATTGTGTAAAAATAGCAGAGTCCCTGAGAGGTCTGCATCATGATTTTGGTTTGAGGAGCATTATTTGGTTTGAGTACAGCTCAGTCTGAAGCAAGGGTAGCGCTAAGGGATAAAAATCACACTGCCTGTGCTTCTTGCTCTTTCCTACATGTCTGCATTTAAAGCCAGACTCAAACCTGCTCATAACCAGTGTTTGTTTGCCTGTGACTTTACCACATTTGCCTCTAGTCTGGGCTCTAAACACCACTTTCATCTCACTGTCCTCCCCCCGTTTTAAAACGGTGCTCCGGCAGGCCGTGTCTTGGCATTTGGAGCTTGTTATCTGTTCTCATGGACCAAGCTGCAGATTCTTAAGATGTTTCTGCTCCAGGTGACCAGGGTGCTCTTTTGTTGGAAATCACCATGTCAGAACAAGCAGGAATAAGTGTGTTCCTGCTGCTGCTGGAGGTAGCTTTGGCTGGGCAGCAGAGCCTGAGGCTGGGCTGGGGTCTGCTGTGCAGCTCTGGGCCGGTGGCTGCTATGTCTGGCACTCCTGCACCGGACAAGGCAGATGCAGCGAGCACTTGAACGAAAACGGAGCGCTGCAGGCGCCAGATTGGCTCGCAGGTTTTCAGTTTTCTGGGTCCCCTGAGATACACATGCAAGATACTTGAGAGAGGTTTCTCAGTCCTTTTCCAAATAATGCTCAGCTGATGAGCACGTGCCACTCTTCATCGTGCTGTTTTTGATGCAGGGCTTGTGTTTTGCGGACAATGAGTGGCAACGAGGACGACTGGCTGTCTCTCAAACCCCAGGAACCTTCTCCATCCCAGTGCTGCGGCAGTGGCTGCAAACCCTGCATCTATGATGTGTATGAGAAGGAGCTTGCACAATGGGAGAGGGCCAAAGCAAAGCAAGACAAAAGCCTCCTCATGGAAAAGAAGGAGCAGGTCAATTTATCTTCATCACATCCTAGAGCCAGTGCTTTGATCGTACTTGTTAGCGTGTGGGGTTGTGGTGATGGGCGAGGGATGCAGCAATAGATTAAAGCGATGTCTTAGGAGAAGGCTGTAAACGCAATTCCCCAAACTCTGCCTTCACAGCCACCCTCCCCCTTGCCCGCTCTCTCCCTGCTGTAATGTGATTTTCCAAGAGTTCGCCCTGGTGTCGCATTACAGCCCTGGGTCTGCAGCTTCTCCTTGCTGGGGTACCCCAGCCAGCCAGACCCAGCCTCTCTGGAAAGTGGGAATGGGTGAAAGGTACAAAGATTCACAATTTTCTCTGGCGGTTTCCTCGGAGAAGCTCCATTTTCCTGACCTTTTTCATCTTTTCCTGATTTTTAGACTCATACTTTGAGGATGAAAAAAGCTGCATTGTGTGTGGTGGAGTAGTTGTCTTCAGAGCACAATTTTAAGCTTGTCAGTGCCCTTTTACATAAGATTAACTATGCTGGGTCAAGCAAAAATGATCAAGCGTTGAAACAGCTAACGATATTTCCTATTCGTAGCGGTCATCAGTAGGTTTCAAAGTTGCCCCCAACGCAGCGCTCAGCTCTTTTAGAGGTATTATTTCTGTTTGTTTCCAGACATGAGAAAATGATTGCAGTGAGTCATAATAGGATGACCTTGCTGTAAGGTGTAAAAATGTAATTTAAAAATGGGGGGGGGGGAATGTGAGATCCCAAAGAGCATGCCGCAGAACATGATAATGAATCAGCAGAGAGCTGAAATTTGCAGTGGGCCCCAGCATTTAATACGTGTTCCTCTGGAGTCCTGAGTATCTCCATCACTAAATTAGCACACACATTTGCTTCCAAAGAAAAATGAAATAATAAAAGACATCATCTAACCAAGTAATTATTTATTGTTGTTCTTGCAGAGCAATAATTCAGAACTGAATCCAGATACATTTACTGCATTCAGCATAAGCTTGGTGGAGCAGCTAACAGAGGACACCTACCAGTACAAATTTGAATTACCGGGAAATAGCAGTCTGCGATTGAGTTTAGGACAACATATCGTGTTAAGGTATTGTTCTCTGTGCTAGTTAAACAGTCTGCATTATGTAACCTAATACCTATGTTTTTTGTCAATAGACAAAGGCTTCATACCAGGCAAATCATAATTTCTATACCTCCACAATCACACAGATGAAAGAACTTGTGAGCTCGTTAGCTCTACTAATTTTATGGTAAAAGCCATTCCAAAGCTGTATTTTTCTTCAGTGTTATCCTTGCGTCGGTGGGTCAGAAAGAACGAGGTGTGATTAAGAAAATCCATTTGCAGAAAGAAAGAGTCAAAGAATAGATGTTACAACAGATGATTTACTCCAGCATGTTGGGATGAAGACAATGAGCTGCGCTTACCCCAGAGCTTGGTATTTTAGGCCATGTATCTTGGGGTAACTCAGCGCACCCAGGCTGTTATCCCCGGTGTCCAGGCATTTCCTGACTGATTTCTAACAAAACAACCCTCCTGCGTAGCTTATTGCTTGTCAGAAAGGAGCCACTTGGGAAAAGTTTATGTCTGTCTCAGCCATCTGTGGTGATCATTGCCAGATAGAAAAAGTCATGTTATGATGCCATTGATCTGTATCTGTTGACGTTATTTGTACGTTAACAGCTGATGTGTACAGCTGGCTGGCTGCTGAAAGTACATGCTTCTCCCTTCAGCCATCTCTCATAATGCAGCAGAGGAAAAGGTTCGGTCACTTCAATCAATTACCGTAGCCAGTAGTAAAGAGCAGGGTGGATATTTTCTATGGAAAGAGAAGACTTAACAGGAAAATACAGTGTATATTGACAAAACCTCAGGTCAAGGCTGTGCCCTGGCTTTCGTTAATTGCCAGATGCTGTCCGAACACAGAAAGGAAAGTAGACCCCAGCCCAAAAGCGATAGCAAACTTACCATGAAAGCATTTTTCTCTCCCCTTTGCCAGTCTTGCATGTTCAGCTGTTTCTCACAAAACAGCTCAGATGTCCTTGCGGGGGTGTGTCCATGAGCTGAATATGTGGTACAGCTGGGGCCACCACCGGGAAAACAAAAGGTGCATTTAGCCATTGTGTTCCCCCTGGATTTTTACCTCTGGAAGGTAAATGTTTTGCATCTGTGCGCAGGCTGGGCCATTGGGAAGAGGACCTGCTGCCTCCCTCATCTCCCCAGAGAACTGCAGAAGTTTGGTAATACCAGTCAATGACCCAACTCACAGAGGGTTCCTATATTTCTCTTCCCAGAGGAATGGTGAATGGTTTGGAGGTCCAGCGAGCCTATACTCCAATTAGCCCAGGGAATGCAGAAGGTTACTTTGAAGTTTTAATGAAAGTAAGTAAGCCTGTGCAATATGGATTAGAGTCCAAGGTGCCGAGGACTGTGTTTTCTTTAGGAACCAAGCACACTGTCAGCACTTCAAGTGAGACTTTCAAATCCCTCATGGACTGTTTCTGTGTTGTTTTGAAGCAGTTATGCTTTGCTGATAAAAATTGCAGTTTTTCCCACAAAACTGAAAGCAGAGGAAAGTGACACACAAACGAGTGCTTTGCAGCATAAGCCCTGTTAAGCCTCTCGGGAGCCCTGCAGTCGCCAGCGTGGAAAGAGGTGCCCATTCCACTTCCCTGATTTCATTTTGCCTTTTCAATCTGTCTTTGAAATTGGACCCAGTTGTCAGCCCAGTTGAACCACTGGTTTTGGGAAGTCTTTGCCCACCCTTTATCTTTCCCCCTGTATTTTACTTTAAGAACACTCCTCAGAAACATTTTTCAGTTTGGTTAAAAATGTAGACAGCTGTTTTCTGGTTTGCGGGCAAGGCTCTGGAGCTGCCTGTGGTCTGAGAGGGTCCCCGTGGGTCACGGGGCAGAGAGGTGGCCCACGGGCACAGGCTGCACCTATCGGGGTAGATGGGGTGGCAGAGCTCTGTTTTGGACAAGTGTCCTGGCCCTTCTGGAGGCCACCACAAAATGCTGGTTGAGTTCAAAAGGATTTTATAGGAGAACTTGGCTGGAAATTTGTCTGAATAAAGTCCGCAGGGCCCTCATAAATGATTACTTTGTGTGGAGAATATCGAATTGAAAATTTTTCCGATACTGCATTTGTATGTCACTAATGATTCCTCAGGGCAGACGCAGACTTCAGTATAGGTGTGAAATTCAGAGTGCTGGGTATCCCAGGTGGCTTGCAGAGAATGACCACTTGTCCTCTGCCTGTCTCCCAGGATTTCACATTTCTGGGGTTTATTATGCATTATACGTTTGAACACAAACCCTGTTCTTTAGAAAAAGTGTACAGCTTCTATAGGGCACCTGTGGGAGGGTCATTTTGCCATTCTTGTGGCAATTGGTGTGTGGTTGGGGAGAGAAACGTTGCATTTGAGTTGCATTAATAGGATACGTTCACAGGGTGACTGTGAAATTTCATGTATACTTGCTTATTACTCACAGGTTTTGCATTTCAATAATAATAGTAATGATTGTAATGATACCTTTCCTTCATATAGAACCTTTCATCCCAAAGGGAGCTATAGTTATTCTCTGGCAGTGACAAAAGAGATTGGTAACACCCAGTGTAAAGCAGCCATTTTTATAACTCACTCTGTAGGTTGTGGTATATTTCACACTATTCAGGCAATTTTGGAAAGTACTATATTATTATTATTATTATTACTATGCAATCCAAGCACTGTTCAAACCCTTCTGTCTCCTGTTATTATAGCACTGCATTTGTGATACTACAGTTAAGAGTGAGGGAGTTGCCATTTACAGAGCATAACCCTCTTTTTGAGTGATTTTATAATGTTAGGGTTTCTCTCCATGTAAAACTGGGTGTAGAAGTTTTCTCCCAGGAGATAATTATTTTTTTCTTTTTATTTAGAAAAATTCATTTTAAACCCACTCAATCACTTCCCACTTCAATTTTTGGAAATAATTTTGGTGAAAGAAGGATTGTTTTAGTTTCCATTACCCTGGTCCATTGGGAATAGGCAGTAGGTGGGGCTGACTTTTCTGCTCTTGCCTTGGGTTTCCGTATATATTTGAAAAAGGTAGGTACAAAATACTGCTCCTCTGATGCAACTGCACACTCTTTGCCTGAGACTTAGTACCTACCCAGAGCTCTCTGAATGTAAAATGTTTCTGACAGTAGCTCAGAGCCTGCCTGTATGTTATGCGTTTACCTTTTGAATGTAACAACTGGTGCTAATAGTTTTTAATACTTCAGGTATCTTGTTTAAGTGAGGTTGTTAGGAGGGGAGGAGCATCTGTGTTCTTTATTAGCTAACACTGCTTGCAAGCACAAGCACACACTCGCTCACTCACTTTTTCTTAGCTTCTTTGCGGTTCACCGATTTCGTTTGCCTGCAGTGCACCTTGGTGGCCAGCCAAGGCACTGGGGTGTGGAGCTGGGCTTCTGTGCAATGCGCGTGCAGAAAATACCCCAAAGTACGCTTCTTTCATATGGGCTGGAGTCTTCGAAGGCTTGTATCACATCTCATCTTTTGACCTCTGGTTGTGTTGCAGCTCTTCCTGAGGCTTATCAGTGGCATCGCCTCTGTGCGAGACCAGTTGTCTGCCACAGCTGTTTGGCTTATCTGCTCTTGCTGTTTGGACCAGCCCTTGTTCTCTGGCCAGATCCCATAGACTGTAGCTGTTCTTCTGTGCATGTTTGTTCTCATTAACCATAAAGTGGTCATACATATAGGACATACATATACATATTGCACATAGCAACAAGACTGCTTGGATGAGCCCTTCATTTTCCAGCCTCTCCTTGCTTCTCCGTTTCTAGCAAGCTCTGACCCGTCCTCATCAGTCATGAGTGAGGTTAGCATTCCT